CTTTTCCCTTTCTTCATTTTTCTCTTTCATTTTCTTTTCTTTTTCTTGGTATTTTGGGATGCAATCTAGAACAAAAGGAGAATACATTAAGGAATGTGAAGAAATATTTGAGAAAGTCAAGGCCCAAGCTTCAAAAATGAGTTTTATCAATAATTATGTATTTTGTCAATTATTTTGACACATTTGTAATGCATTGTTATAAATATTATCCTCTTTATCATTTACACAACATGTGCTAAGTATTTTTGTTGGGATATATGATTGAAGTTATCATAACTTTAATTAATTCTAATATTTGCTTTTTAATGTTAAAATATTTATTTTCATGTGTATCTACGACTGTATTTCTTGCATTTTCATTTACGTGGTTAATGAATGATTATGTTTAGTAATTTATACATCGTTTGAAAAAAGATTGTACATTTCAAACCAAACAGTAGAAACCCTAAGTTTGTATAAGGATAGAGATATGTCCCTCACCCTAGATGACCCATTAAACTACTTTCACAAAAATTTAATATGGTTATTAGGTTTTAATCAACATAGAGATATAGTAGGTTAAACCAATCAATTAGGAATAATTTCATTGAGAGAATTAATTAGCTGAATTTGAAAATTCAAGTCTAACATCGTAAATGAATAATTTGTTAATTGGCTTGTGAAAAAATTAATTAGGCAATAGCTAGGTAAAACCATGAGCCCCAACCATGTTTTCCTCCAAAATTCCAAATTTTTTTATGTTTTCTTAGTTTGTATATCTTTAGTCATCTCCCACGTTTTCAAACTAAATCTTTATTGCGTATTTTTTTTTATTATTAAAATTAAATTGATTAAAATTGTGTAATTTAAAGTAAATATTCTTCGAGAGATTAATAATTCGGACTCAAAAAATCAACTTTATTATTTAAACGCAACTCGTGAACTTGCGATTTGCACTTTCATAGAGGACAAGGCTCTCTGTTACTTTTGCTGATTAAACTGCCATATAATGTCACATTGAGAAGACAGGAAATAAAAGCTTAAGAATCTTTATTTTTCGATTGCTGCAACTTTAGTTCTGTACATATATCATGTCATTGACACGACCACGTGTCTTATGACATAACAATGGCTATGAAATTTGAGGAACAACATCAGATTCTGGTGAAAAGGAGACAGATCTAAAAGGCGTGTCCTTTTATTTTATTTTATTTATTTATTATTATTTTTTTTAACGAGGTGTCCCATCTTGCGCCAGACTATATCCTCGTCCCTGAACCTCCGGTCCCTCAACTGCTCAGGGAGGTAAATCGCAGGATGTGTCCTTGTTGGTTCCCAAGTTCCCACATGACTTTTACTTCTTCCCCAAAGGAAGCCTCCTCCATGATAATTAATCCACCAATAATTCCTCCTTTATTGGATCAAAGGTTCCCACCAGGAATCGAACTCCCCACGCTTGGTTCCAGAGCCCCCCAATGTGATTGTTCCGCCAACTTGAATGTGCCCTGAGGGGCATCTAAAAGGCGTGTCTAAATACACTAAAGGGTTGTTTGAGTTCCATTTTTTTTTTTCAAAAAATATATTTTGAAATAGTGTTACGATGAAGAATATATGATTAAAAAAAGGAAAAATTGCAGTAGCGGTCCTAACTTTTTTTTTGCAGACTTTATCCTAACCTTCATTTTGTACCAACGAAATCTCTAATCTTTCATAAATATCCACTTGAAGTCTATTTAGACAGAAACTGTTCAAAACACCGTCAGTTGATCGTGAAAATTCCTTGAATTATCTGCTACCGTAACGATTTTATTAGATGTTGATATCTTTTTGGATAGTGTTTTTGAACGATATTTTGGACAGTTTTATTAGATATTGATTCCTTAATTTTTTTGGTTAACTGACAGTGTTTTGGATAATTTCTGTCTAGATGGACCCCATGTGTATATTTATGAAAGATTAAGGACCTTCGTTGGCACAAAATGAAAGTTATGATAAAATCTGCAAAAAAATGAAAAGATTAGGGACTGCTACAACAATTTTTCCTGAAAAGTAATAAATGAGTAACGTGGTGCATAATTCAGTAACCATTGAGATACATTTTTTGGTTCAATTATGAAGTAATAATATTTGATGAAGTTTAGTTACCATTAAAATAGATTTTGAAGTTCAACTATTAAGTAGTAACATATGACAAAGATCAGTGACCATTTATATGATTAAGCCACACTAATTTCAAATCCTAAATTTAATGGAATGACATAAGGATCCACGAGTGATCCTTCGAGAATCTATATAACCCTACTCCTGCCTAGTAAAGACTACTAGTCCAAGGAAATCGATATTTCCCTAGGAAATAATAGAGCTTGAACTCTTCAGATGACAATAACAGAGGTTCCTGCACGTAATGTAACAAGCATGACAAAATTCCTAGATTACTTTAGAAATTATTCAAACAAATTAATAACTGCATGTTTGTTGTAAATTTTTTGAAAATAGATTTTGTGGAAAGTGATTCGTTTGGAAAATGTGTAGATAAAAGTGGGTAAAAGTTATTGGTCCACGTGCAAAATTATTTTATTGGAAAAATATGTGATTAAAAATGAGTTTAAAATTTTTTTTTTTTTTTAAAGAATTCGTTGTCGTGACCTTTGAACTAAATTGACAAGATGATCATAAAAAATAGTAGCATTCGTCTTTTCAATGAGAAACCGTGGTAAAAATCGATATTCATGATGTTGATGATTAAGCAAATACGTCTATTTAGGGAACATAAAGTCTGTTCTGTCACGTGATCAGTATTTTATCAAAATCTTGTGACATATTCTGAGGGAGTAACTTTCAATTGAAAGGTCTGACTTGGTGGTGTCAACGGGACGAGGTGGGAATATCCCTTTCAATTAAAAGGTCTAACTTAGTGATGTCAACGGGGCGGAGATACCCATTTCAGTTACAAGATTTAATTTTATTTTGTCCTTCATGGTGCGGGTTCGGGCTCTCGCCCCGCCAACCAGTTCGGGGCAGGGACCCGTCGAGACGAGGAGGGATGGATTTTTTTGCCATCCCTAATATGACTTGACAGAAAACTGAAGCTTGGGATCTAGATGGGATTTCATCACAAAACTAGATATTGTTACATCACTTGCTGTATTTCACATTCGACCTTGATTTCCAAGTCTTCCGACTTCCTTATTGCCTACTTGACTTAAGGATTTCGTGAAATATATGCACGAAGCGTTTAAACCTTGCTAGATAATATTGGGCTTGTTCAGTAGTAATTATAAGAATTGATTTTTTGACCGTTAGAAAGAAAAGTGATCACGCCTATGAGAAAAGAAGTCAAAAATGACAGCTGAAATGATGAAATAAAAGTCAAAAAATTGATTTTTTTGGGTGAAAAATCAATACCAAACATACACAATAAGTCATATAAGACGTTTAACTGACTGATGGACATGCTAGAAAAATCCTCTTTCAAAGACTAGAAAAATTCTAGCATGGAACAAAGATATGTTTCTAACATGTGTATTTTTTGTGAAAAGATTGTAATCAAGTTTATTGGAAAGAAGGATTTTTATTCGAACTTCCAAAATTATTGTAAGAAAGTTGTGTATCCTGCTTTGCTGTCATGGTTAACTCCACCTCTGTATCTTCTCAATTCTTTTGTTCTCCATTTTAGTATGTAATATTCATCTTTATGATATTTTGTCCTTTAATAGCTCGACTGAAGAAGCATGAATATAAATATTTCTTCCATAAAAAAGACAACTTCATAAACACAAACACATTGAGTACACTTAGAAAAAAAACAGATTATACATTTAACTTGGTTGTGAAACAACGACTCACCTTACGCTTTTGTTGTGATTTCTATTTCATGAAGTGGGTAGATGCAGACCCAACAAAATGCAACTTTTTTCTCCACTTTGCGCAATCCGCAACATTATAAAGTGTCAAGAACCTGATGCTCACTTCTGCACAAAATCCTACGAAATTTTCATTGGAAATTCATTATTATACACTAATGTCATTTTGATTCCATTCCCATAACCTACGTCTCAAGATACATTTGCAAAAGTAAATCTAAATCGTGACTTTAGGGAAATTAATTAATTTTAAACATCATTGTTATACATATATATATATATATTTTTTTTTTCCGCTTTCAAAGAAAATGATATAAGGCAGTGTTTGATAGCATGGAAATGGAATTTCAATTCCATATTTTCTATTTTTTTGTTGTTTGGCAGCACAATTATTTTCATGGAATTTCAATTCTTGATTGTCTTGGAAAGTGTGAT